CATCAATATTTACAATAACTAAAATATTTTATAAATTCTAAATAATTTTATATCTTAGATTTATTGAATGATAAACTGAAATTATATTAAATAATCTTAAAAATGAGAATTCGGATTTGCTTTGGTGTTTTTATTATGGTTATATTAAGTTACACAAACATAAAATTTTTTTAAAAAATTTAAAATTAAGAAACATATATTTAAATAATGATAGAATATAACATATCTATGTCATTAAAGTATATAGTGGTATGATATTTTAAAATATTTTGTAATTATTTGACTAAAAGATGTTTATTGTTAAAAATTATTTTAATTTCTCTTAAAAATAAGCAGTAAAAATTGTGGTTGTATTTGAGAAATCATATTATATAAGTAAAATTTAATTTATAGATATTTTTTTTTGCTTTAGTTGAAAGATACTATAGTCAACTAAATATATGAAAATAAATAAAATATTCAATAATTTTAAATAAAAACTATTTTAGTTAATAAAAACATATACTTGTTATGTTACTTAAAATTATGTTTAAAAGTAAATTTTTTTTTTCAAATATCAAAATTATATGTGTGAATTTTTTGTTATGAAATCACATTATATAAAAATAAATATTTTCATATAAGAAAATACAGATATAAAGAAAGTATTTTATTAATTAAAAAGTACATTTTATGTTATTTAAAATATTTTTAATGGATGTTACTATTTTGTTAATTTTCCCTTTTAATGAAATCATATTATATAAACATATATTTTCGTTTTTAATTTTTACTTTTAAATTTTATAGATGTTTTTTCTATTATAAAATTTAGTTGGAAATTTTTAAAAAGGAACTAAATATAAAATTAATAATACTATTTTACTATTTTGATAGTATATTACTATTTTGTGAACTTTCCTTTTTAATGAAATCATATTATATAAACATATATTTTCGTTTTTAAATTTAACAATTTTTCTTTTTTATTATAAAAGTAATTTGGAATGTTTTAAAAAGGAAACTAAACATAAAATTAATAATATTATTTAAATATACTATTTAAATATATTCATCAAGGATATCATAGTAATCAACCAGTGTAAGAGTCAACGTGAGCGCGCCACATAGGAAACTGACTTCTCAAATAATATTATAGAGATATGATTTTATTTTTATTTTTTTAAATTTTAATTGTAAAATCTTAAATAACAGGAAATTTATCCACACGGATTTGTTAGTAGATATGATTTACTACTATATTTGAAATGATTTTTATGTTTAAAAACAAAAACTCAAATTGATATAAAATCTCCAAATTTGTAAATATTAATTAAAATTAACATAGTAAATTTGAAAATCAGTAAATTCCATAATGCCATAATTATATATAAATTTAATAATCAATTAAATACATAAGCGAATAAAGTCCATTTATTCATTTAATTTATATTTGAAAAGAAGGTTTTGGTATTAGCAACCAACAAGGTCCTCTTTCTCTTGTAGTTTTGCTTTTACATAAAATATCCTTTTTTTTTGCTAATTTTTTTTTTATTACTGTTCTTATTTTTTTCAAAAAAAAAAAAAAAAATCTAATTCTTACTCATAAAGGCTTGTGTGCGTCTTTATGTGATTTAGTTTTATTATTTTGGTCTCTTCCTATACTTTGTTACAGCTTTTTGAATTTTACTGTGAAGCATTGAGTTATGAGTCAATCTTTTGAACAAAATCTCAACGGTTAAAGAAGAAACGCCTTCTTTGGCATATAATTCCAGTCTCACATTCCTTGTTTATAATTATTGTCATTCTTACTGGAAAAAAATCTAGTAGTCTTAACTTAATTAAGAAACATCCAAATCCATTAATTAATTATGAGAATAACTGAATACTAAAGGCCCAATACACATGTCTCTCATATCTCACTTACAATAGGCGTTATTAGTTTTTTAAAAATTAGCTATAATCTAGAAAAAAATCTGGATATTATTATAGACCAAACAAATCTATATAAAGAGATTATGCATGTATATCCATTTTAAATTAATGAACATACTATTTGAAAATTAAATGAAAATACTATGTATTCACTAAAGAGATAATATATACTTCAAAATTAATGACAAATACTATTTACAAAGATATGACTCACCATTCTCAAAAAGTACTATGGATATTTGGATCATATTCTAAAAATCTGCAAAATTATTTAAAACTATTTAGATTTTGTAACTTAAACAACATTTTACATAATTAGCAAATTTAAATGATAAACTAAATGATATTAAAAATTTAAAGTAATCCGTTAACAATATACGAAACTAACCAACACTAGAATTTTAAAGTAATCCGTTAATAACGCGCGTAACTAACTAACATTAAACTCTTAAAGTATTCCGTTAACAACGCGCGAAACTAACTAACATTAAACTTTTTAAAGTAATCCGTTAATAATGCGCGAAACTAACTAACATTAAGATTTTAAGGTAATTCGTTAACAAATTACAAACTTAACCAACATTAAAAATTTAAAGTAGTTCATTAACAACACGCAAAACTAACTAACATTAAGATTTTAAAATACCGAACATTAAGATTTTAAAATACCATTAATCACCCAGGAAACATTTATTAAAATAGTTATATATTATTTGAAAGTTAAATACTAATTTATCATAAAATATCTTATTTTTCCAACATGATTATGCTAACTATCCAAACAATTTAGAGAAAATGGCAGTATTATGGAGGAATATCTCTTTTCTTGGTGAAAAATGGGAAAAAATTCTAATATTTTTTAAAGTTTAGAAGAAAAATTGAAGTGGTATTCTAGTTACTGGCACTATATAATGTACCGTGCCAGGGAGGTGATAGATACTCTCATACAAACACAACTGCTTATTCATAAGCTCTCTTCTCACCTTTCACTCCTCATAGATTCTTCCTTCTTTCTCCTTAACTCGGAGTAAAGAAAGACAAAGTTCTTCTCTTTAGTCCCAAAGGTGATGTTTTGATCAACCCCTTTTGCGTTTTTGATGTTCTTAAACAGTTTTCTCTGGGCTATTTTCTTGGTTCATCTCCGACCATCATATATTGAATTTGAGTAGAAATGATATAAGCTTTTGTTCCTCTATATATTCCAGCGTTTATGTTCTCATAATCAAATTAGCATTCTAGCTATCTTCTTTTTTGTTGAGTCCTGTGTTTGTTGCAATGTTCAAGAAATAGATATGGGGTGATTTGTTAATTTCACAGATGATTTTTTTAACATCCCAAATATTAAAAAAAAATTCAAGAAAAAAAAATCATTTCATTTTGGTCTATTGTATTAACAATAGGATTCTTGTTTTGTAGCCATTAGATAATTAAATTCGTTTTCTTTGCTTTACAGGTTTTGAGTTGTGTTAAGTGGATTGATATGAAGAGGGTGTACACATCTGATCAAGAAATGAATCGTAGGGTGCGTCAAAGAGTGGAGGAACATGGAAAGGATAAGGTTGGTGGTGATGAGGCTGTAGCACCAACGGTTAATCAAGAATCTAAAGATTGGACTAGCATGGCTAACGACATCATGCTTCATGTGTTTACTCTCTTGGACTCTAGCGACCGAGCTAGCTTGGCATCAACCTGTAAACCGTGGAGAGCCCTTGGTGCTTCTCCTCATCTGTGGACTTGTTTGGATATTCGTTCCAACAAGTTTGATCTATCAGTGGCTGCTTCTCTTGCTGGTAGGTGTGGTGATGATCTCAACAAGGTTAGGTTCCGTGGCCTTGACTCTACTGCTGCCATATGTAAACTCAAGGCAAAGAATCTGAAGGAGATAGCCGCAGATTACTGTGAGAATCTGGCAGATGCTACCTTGTCTATGATTGTTTCACTCCATCAAGATCTTGAGAGTGTCCAGCTTGGACCAGGAGCTTGTGAGAGCATCACTAGTGAAGCTATAAAGGTTATAGCCTTGTGCTGTCCCAAACTCAAAATGCTTAGGCTCTCTGGAGTGAAAGATGTTACCACTAAGGCTATTGTGTCTTTGGCCACACACTGCCCACTTCTTACTGATGTTGGATTCATGGATTGTCAGAACATTGATGAAGCAGCACTGGTGAAACTTGTGTCTGTTCAGTATCTATCTGTGTCCGGGACAGAAAACATGAACTGGAGCGTTGCAGCTGCGAGTTTGGAGAAGCTTCCCAACTTAACCGGTTTGGATGTGTCAAGAACCAGCATTAACCATGCGACGGTTTCAAGGCTGTTGAACTCATCTAAGAGCTTGAAAGTTGTGTGTGCTGTGAACTGTCCATTGCTTGAACGTTCTCTAGAGTTCAACCCTGATACCTTCAGCGGAAAGCTACTGATTGTTTTGCACAACAACACTTTGAATGGGATGGCTTCTCTATTTGAAGCTAACTCAATGATGCCAAAGGAAGCAATGCATTGGCTTGAGTGGGTACTCTCTCACACTCTTCTACTCTTGGCAGAGAGCAACAAACTAGGAGTGGACAGTTTCTGGCAGAAGCATGGAGGCAAGTTCTTTGTAAGGCTAATGCAAAGCACACAAGAGGATGTCCAAGAGAGAGCAGCCAGAGGACTTGCTGCTTTTACCCAAGTAGGTGATGACTATGCAATCATCTACAGTGAAAGAGCTGAGACAGTTTTGCAAGATGGAGGCATCCCAATTCTGTTGAAACTTGCTGGATCATTGAAACATGGTCTTCAGACAGAAGCTGCAAAGGCCATTGCACACCTGTCTTTAAATGCAGATGTTGCAAAGGCTGTTGATGAAGAAGGTGGGCTTAAAGTTCTTGTTGGTTTGGCTAAGTCTAGGAATAGACTTGTGGCTGAAGAAGCTGCTGGTGCTCTGTGGAATCTCTCTCTTGGAGACCCATTTAAGGTATACATTGTTGTCCCCCTTAATAAAGAGTTATAAAAACCTTTTGCTCTCTACTTGACATTGTTAATTTTCATGTTGATTAAAGGCTATTGCTGAAGCTGGAGGAGTGAATGTGTTAGTGAAGCTTCTCTCTATATGGCCATATGGCTATGGTAGACTTCTGGTAAAGACCTGCCACCTTTTGAACCATCACAAAAACTATTATTAGGGCATTAAGATTAGATAATGAGAAAAGATTGTTCATTAAGTACAAATTTTTTGCTAGATTTAGTGGTTTTATTATAGTTATTTTTTTTTTTAAATATTTTGTTTGTTCTGACAAGAGTATTCTACTCTCTTTTGTCTTTGATTAGGAGCGTGTTGCTGGTGCATTAGCTAATTTAGCAGGAGACGATAAGTGTAGTATGGAGATTGGAAAAGCAGGAGGTGTGCATGCCTTGGTGATGCTAACTCAAAACTGCATGTATGAAGGAGCACAAGCACAGGTACTTCCTTGTTTTATATACCTATTCTATATATATATATGCTTATGATAGTGATTGTCTGAACTAATTAAGGTTTGTCTCTCTTTTTGTTTTTTTTTTAATCTCTCAGGCGGCTCGTTGTTTGGCTAATCTGGCTATTCATGATGATGGCAACATTAACAATGATGCTATTGGACTAGAGACTGGTGTCTTGCAAACACTTCTTCAGCTGACAAAATCGAATCATGTTGGTCTTAAACAGGAAGCTGCTGGTGCTCTTTGGAGTTTGGCATATGATGATAAGAATAGAGAATTGATTGCTGCACTTGGTGGTGTTGAAGTCTTGGTAATTATTATTATGTTTTCCTTTTCTGTCATTTATTTGATTTTTGTTGTTGTGTGTTTTGAGATTCATTATTTGTGTTTTCTTGATTATAATTTTTAGGTGGAATTTGCAAAGTCCTGTGTTAATGCATCAAGTGGTCTGCAAGAGAATGCAGCTGGTGCTCTTTGGGCTCTAGCACACTCTGAAGAACACAGGTATGCATTCATTTGATTTTTTTATTTATTTATTAATGCAGCTTCAAAAGAGATTTAAAACTTTTTTTTTCTAATCAGCATGGCAATTGGAGAAAAAGGTGGTATACCTCCTCTTATTTTACTTGCAAGATTTAACTATGAGGTAAAGAACATTTTTGTTTTTCCTTTTTAAGTTTTTGTCATGTTTCCTAGTGTTTTTTGAGTTAATCTAATCCAGCTTTTTTTTTTTTCTTTCTTCTCAAGGCTGTACATGAAACTGTTGCTGGAGCTCTGTGGAATCTTTCTTTCAATCAAAACAATGCTCTCCGCATTGTGGAGGAAGATGGAGTTAAAATGCTTGTTCGCCTCTGTACGTATTCTAACTCCAAATGGGCACGTTTCCTGTCATCATTAGCATTAGCTTACATCTTTGATGGAAGGTACACTCAAAAAACTTAACCAATCATATTCACATTCAACATACATTTCTCTATATAAATGCCTAAGTAATGCTTTTTATCTTTATCTATATGCACAGGTTGGATGGATTTTTGAGGAATACTCCGCCGAAAGTTACATTAAAAAGGGTTTACGTGGCTGATAAAAGAAGTGCGCTTAGATGTATTGAAAGTTACATTAAAACTTTCATGGATCAACAAATCTTTGAAACTGGTGATGCTTCTTCATCAACTACTCCACCTATGTCAGCACAAGACTTGGAGAACATTCGTATCCAAGAAGCTGACAATTTAAGATGCAGTAGTGAAGAGATTGGAATGTTTGTTACAATGCTGGGAAACCCTTCTCCTGTACTCAAAAAGTTTGCAGCCTTTGTGCTTCTCCAGGTATTTGTTTATTTTCTCTTTAATGGTTAGTGTGTTTTTTTTTTGTAAATCAGTTTGCGTTTTTGGTTACTAATATATGAAAAAAAAAATGCAGTTCACAATACCGGGAGCTAGCCATGCCAAGCATCATGCAAGCTTGATGCAGAACCGTGGAGATGCTATAGTCTTGCGTTCTGCTGCTGATGATACTGTGAACATGCCTAGTGAGGCTAGAGATTTTGTGGAAAACGTGCTTAGCAACCTGGAGCATCATCAGCCATAATGTTTAAAAGGGAAAAAAAAAGGATTTATTTCATAAGAGTAATTTAGCCTATGTAATTAGGCATTTATTTAGTGTTATACAGAATGTTTATGTAACCATAGACCTTCTTTTGTTTTTCATTCATAAATTTCAATACAACCTTTTGCGAGAAATATTTTTCTTGACTTTTTACTTTCAAGTTAGCAACTTCGAAACGTAGCAATATGTAGCTACTACTTAGGTAGATTCTCAAAAGAGAAAATGATTAGAATAGACCTAAAATTTTTTTTATCACAAATATATAACTTAACAATTAAAATGATCAAAATAACATTTATATGTTTTATTAAATATACATTTATATCATTGGGTTAACTAATCATAATTTTTTTTGTTCAAAGTTGAGTGAGGTTTTGGGAAAGGGTTTCGAATTTTAAAAAAATTAAAACAAACTTAAAATTTTCAAAAAAAAAAATGTTATTTGGTCATGTTAATTTTTAAAATATATTTTTGTGATAAAAACTTAAAATATGACTATTTGAGAGAATTGCCTTCCCAAATTCTCAATCAATCCCTTAAAATATATTCTTTGCTATGAAGATCTTTTAATGTTTACAATATAGTGACTTAAAAAAAAATCTGAGAATCCAAATGCTCACATTACCTGAATATAAAATTAGAATCATTATGGAATCTAAGGATAGACTAAAAAAGTCTGAGAATTCAAATGCTCACATTACACTGAATATAAAATTAGAATCACTATGCACACATTAACACACACACAAATTAATAATCTACTAAGTTATTTTAATGACAACTTATGTAGCAACTTGAACATTAATTACTTAGCAATACTATGTAGCATCTTATAAACAATAACTATTTATTCAGCGGTAAGTAGCAACTTGAAACATCAATTGCTTAGCAATAAACATCTTATGAGCTACTTCGAAAGATTCACTACTAGGCAACTATGCAGCCAAACTTAGAAACATACTTAACAACATACGAAGCTACTAAAAGTTCTCGTGAAGGACGACAAGTCTTCAGAAACATCATCTTCCTCCTCTTCGTTGCTCACCTCTTCTTCTCTTTTGGTTTTAACGAGAGGGTCTCCTCCATCAGCTAAGGTCTCCCAAAGCCACATCTCGGTGATGAGATCGTACGACTTAGTTTTGCAACCGCACTGGCAAATCTTGGGACCGTGTAGAGGATTAGCAACGAGAATGTTGTGACCAAGCTCTTTGCAACTATGGAGAGCAGAAGCAAACTCCATGCCGTTTCGTGAGATAATCATCACGTTGCACAATTCAGGTTTATTTGTATATAACCAGTGAAAAAAACTTATCAGCATCTCCCTAATTCTCAAACGCTTATCTCCTGAAAACAGATTTTACATATAACCAATTATAAACCGGACAATTCCAGAGCCCTTAACCAACTAAACCAGCTACAACTAAAATATATATTAAAATTATTAGTGTGTGGTTTTTTTTAAGTGACGTGTAAGAAGAAGAGTGGTTAATTACCAACGGGATGGATTTCGATTCCGGCAGATTCGAAGTAACCAGGGATCTGGTTCCTGTCACCAAACGCCTTGATTGAAACCTCTCCGTGGTAACCTTTGTTCGCGAGGGCTGTTCTGATGTTCTGATAAAGAGATTTAGGGTCGAGATCTTCTGGGATCGGACACTCTTCCACGTCCAAGAACACTCCTGTCTTAGCCTCTGCTAGGTTTTGTAGTATAAACTAAATCAGATTAAATCTACAACAAGACAAGTAGTTTCGACTAAATAAGAGAGAGAGATTACCAGCGAATGTGGTGTTGGTGGTCACGGAAGTCATGGTTTTGACGAAGATCGAGAAGATGGAAGAGAGTGACTTTCTCAGTGTTCTTCTCTGAACGGGAGAAAAATGAAACGCAAGGGTTTTAGATCTTAGACCATGTTCAACGGGGGGAACATGAGAGTCCTTAACCCTTCCCCCGATGCACTTAGGCTTTTTTTATTAATATTTTGTTGTAAATCACTAAGGATCAGAACGAAAATAAGGATTTTATTTCGTTGATCCTTAGCTACGTGGCAAGTGGTGGTTCGTCGATCATTTTTACGCTTTCGGTATCGTCGAAGAAAACTTCAATTCGACCGAGAACGAGAAAAAAAAAATTTCTCTCGAGAGCAAAAGGCGATTTCGATAGATCCGGAGAACAAGGTAAATCGATCCGTTAACTAGTCGATTTATGGTTTTAGATTAGGTCCGTCGTTGTTTTCTTGTCAATTTACGGTTCGATTGAATCGTTTTCAATGGATTTGTGTTTTGAAAATTAGGGTTTCGAAGGATTTGGGGATTTGGGGATTTGGGGTTTCGAAGGATTTGGGGATTTGGTGATTTACGGTTCGATTGAATCGTTTTCAATGGATTTGTGTTTTGAAAATTAGGGTTTCAAAGGATTTGAGGATTTGGGGATTTGGGGTTTCGAAGGATTTGGGGATTTGGGGATTTACAATCAAATCGATTTGTATCGTTTTGATCTTCTTTACGTTTTCAAAATCCCTAGTCGTTTCACTCCGATCTTCTCTCATCTTCTCTCATGTTCTTTACGGTTAATAGATTTTCCTGTAATGAAATGTGTTTGTTGTTGTATCTGTATTGAACTGTGTTTGTGATTGTTCTGTTTCTTTAGATTCATAATCCTTATTAACTACTCGTACATGATTTNCAGAGTTTGGCATGACTGCACTGCTTGTAGAAGAAGCTCAACTCTACGCGGATGAAGCTGAGAGTACCTACACTCCTGACCCGGTTCAGTACACATCTCAACATGAGGCTGATTCCGGAATCCCTAGGAGATGCTACTGTGGTGGTGAGCCTGCTGTTGCTACATCCTACACGCGCAAAGATCCAGGGAGACGGTACATAACCTGCGACAATGTGGACGACGGTGACTGCCACATTTGGAAGTGGTGGGATGTGGCAGTCACGGAGGAGATGGGTGAGATTGAGAGACAACTGAGGCACCTTAAGGATCAAGGTTTTCAGGCGGAGGAGAAGCTGGTCAAGGTACAGAAAACCGTCTGTGAGCTTAGGAAGAACGTTCGAGAGCTAAAGACCGTTTGTGTAATGGTGTCCGTATTAGCTTGTATAGGTTTGGCGGTTATGTGTGTGACTGGTAAGCATATCTATTGTGCTTTTTGTTGTTCTTCATGCTATTTAGGTAAGACTTTTGACTCTTTGATTTCATGTTTTTGCAGGAAGAGGTGCAAAGAAGTAAACCACAAGTCGGCATAATTAGGTACAAATACTACAACTTTGATTTCAGCATTCTATTTTGTTTAAAAAATATAATCTATACGTATTAAGAAAATTCAAAATGATATACTATAGTAAACTCAAATATATAATCTATACGTATTAAACTCAAAAAAATAATCTATAAGAATAAAATTGGGTAAAACATCCTTATCATATCATCATCTTAATATTAAGTTTGGTTCATATCATCAACTCACTACTTATTTTATGAAACCAAATGTGATAAATGCTGTGACCGTAAATCACCACTAGTTAGTTAACTAGTTACTAGTTACTAGTTATTACTAGTTACTACTAGTTACTACTAGTTACTAGTTAACTTAAGACGCAACTAGTTATTACTAGTGAGTAGTTAACTTGTCTTTATTAGAGAAGAGTAGTTGTTTCCAACCGGCCCAGATGTGATTGTTTTTAATGTTTTACAGCTTTAGAATAGGGTTCTAGGGTGATTTGATCGGTGTTTAATGCAACTATTGAGCTTTCTATCTTCCAAACTACTTCGTTTTTATTATCTTTAATTGTTTTCCGTCTAAGTTAACCTACTTAAGTCGTTGTGTTGCTATTAGAGTGACACAACCGAGTCTCTAAACATGGATAACAACTCTAGCTATGTTAACCTTCTCTTTAGTCAAAGCCAATCAGCCGTGGACCTTGAATCACCCGAACCTTTTTGGTTCGGTAGCCAAGGTCCTGATGAGTCTCCAAGTGTCGAAACTGGTGTGAAGGAGAGGAGGAAGTGGACCACGAAGGAGGATAGAATTCTTATCAGTGCGTGGCTTAACACCAGCAAAGATGCGGTGGTTGGCAATGAGCAGAAAGGTGTTGCGTTTTGGAAGAGAATTGTTGAATTCTACAACGCAAGCCCTCAATTGGTGGGAACAACACCTAGAGAGCTTGGTCCGTGCAAGCAGAGGTGGGCAAGGATTAATGAGCAAGTGTGTAAATTTGTTGGAGTCTATGACGCGGTTCTGAGGGATGAGAGGAGTGGTCAGAGCGATGATGATCTGATGAGTACTGCCTTAACCAACTTCAACAATCAGTACAAGCAGAGGTTTAGCATGGAACACGCGTGGAGGGATTTGAGGCACGACCAGAAATGGGCCTCTACCTATCTTTCTAAGGAAAAACGCAAAGTGGTGGACCTGGATAGAGCAGAAGAAGATGAAGTGGGACAATCAGAGGCTCGTCCCATGGGTGTGAAAGCTGCTAAAGCTGCAACGAAGAAGAAGAAGAGTGGTCGAGAAGAGTCACTGTCTCAGCTACAGACCATCTACGAAATGAAAGAGAAGATCCAAAACAAGAAACTTCTTGAGCGGCTACTCGCCCAAAAAGAGCCACTTAATGAGATGGAAACAACTCTTAAATTTAAGCTTATGTCTCAGATGATATGAGTTTAGGTATGAGTTTTAGATATGTGCTTAGTTTAGGTATGAGTTTAAGATATGTGCTTAGTTTAGGTATGAGTTTTAGTTTAGGATTCCTTCTAGTTACATATGTAGTTTTATGTCTCAGTTTAAACGTGTTTCTAGTTACATGTTGTTTTACAATTATTCTTTAAAACTAACTCTTTTATCTTGTTTGTGCTGAGTTGTATCAGGTACAGCAGTAGCCATGTGAAGGAAGTCACGGGTGGATTTGAAGTTGTTAAAGTCGTTTGGTCTTTAGCACAAAGGTGAAGAAGTCACGGGCTCAACTGTTTAACTTTATGTAGTATAAGTAGTAGTGATGGGTTGTCTCTAGNATCTATCTCGGCTTTAAAAATTTGTATCCTCTTTTATCACATTGCCTCCCGTTCTTGTTTTGCTCGGTGAGGTTGTATTTTGGGTACAAGTACGTTGTTGTTTCACTTTGGCTCAAGTTGTTGCATCTCCGAGCATTCCCTTTTGTATCACTTGTGTTTAGGTACCACTTCTAGCTCTTCTATTTGTCGTAATAACTTGGTTGTTTATGTACCACTTCTATTTTAACTAGTAACTTGCTTGTTTCGATTGTTAACATGTGTAGTGCTTGTTTCGATTGTTACATGTGTAGTGATGGGTTGTAACTTGTAAGTTGTATCAAGTACTTGCATCTATTTTAAACAGAAATGTGTAGGACAAGAGTAAACACTTGTAGTAAAGAACAATTCATTCTCAAGTTCTTGCATCTATTTTAAACGACAACATGCAAACACTTGTAGTAAAGAACAATTCATTTTAGGATACTTGAAATAAAAAATTTTTAGGATACTTGAACAATTCATTTTAGGATACTTGAACAATTCATTTTAGGATACTTGAATCTGTTACAATTACAAATTTTATTTTAGGATACTTGAAATAAAAAAATAAGACTAATATTCAATAGACACTTAAGGATTCTTGAAAAATATGGATACTTGAAATTAAAAAGACTAATATTAATGGATACTTGAAATAAAGACTAAAATATTTATTAGACATTTATAGATACTTGAAAAAATAGACTAATATTTATGGATACTTGAAAAAAGACTAAAATATTTATTAGACATTTATGGATACTTGAAAAATAGACTAATATTTATGGATACTTGAAAAAGACTAAAATATTTATTAGACATTTATGAATACTTGAAAAAAAAATTTAGACTAATAATTATTTGACATTTGAAGATTATTCTTACTTATTTCGAAAAACTTAAATGTTTTTTTATTTATTTTTAAGGAGGAATTACGAACATGTCATCATCTTCATCCGAAGAAATAGATGCAAGATTGGATGAAATTATCGATGATATCTTCGAAGAAACATGCGACGACATAGTGGAGGCCCAAACCGTTATCCCAAAGAAACGTGCTTATATAGAACGACACCGCGAGACGGGACATGACCGTTTATGGAATGACTACTTCAGCGAAGATCCGGTATTTCCAGCACATTTATTCAGACGCCGTTTCCGTATGAACAAGGACTTATTCATGCGTATTGTGCATCGCCTTTCGGAGAACATTCCATTCTTTCAACAAAGAAGAGATGCAACCGGGAGGTACGGTCTATCTGCACTACAAAAATGTACGGCAGCAATTCGTATGCTTGCTTATGGTTCCGCGGCTGACGCGGTTGATGAATATCTCCGACTTGGTTCAAGCACGGCTCTCTCTTGTCTGCGACATTTCGTTGAAGGAATAATCCAGTTATTTGGCGAGGAATATCTACGAAGACCCACACGAGAAGATCTTCAGCGGCTACTCGATATTGGAGAAAGCCGCGGGTTTCCTGGTATGGTCGGAAGCATTGACTGTATGCATTGGAAGTGGAAAAATTGTCCAACCTCTTGGAAAGGACAGTACGCCCGTGGGTCAGGAAAACCGTCAATTGTCTTGGAGGCTGTTGCTTCACAAGATCTTTGGATTTGGCACGCGTTTTTTGGTCTTCCAGGTACCTTAAACGATATTAATATCCTCGATCGGTCTCCTGTTTTTGATGACATTGTTCATGGTCGGGCTCCCACGTTAGAGTACATGGTCAACGGACACAAGTATAATTTGGCGTACTACCTCACCGACGGTATCTATCCAAACTGGTCGACATTTATCCAATCCATTTCACTCCNNNAGAACTTCACGGGTGAATGTTTCTTATAATAGGTACACACCTCCAAGTATCGACGAAATGCGTGGCGTTCGGATTCATATTCGCGATCGACGTATCCATGACCAATTGAAGAATGATTTAATAGAAAATATTTGGAACAAATTTGGTTATGAAGATTAATAAAATATTGTTGTATTTTCCTTTTTTATCATTTAATAAAAATTTTTTTTTTTAAAAAAATATATTATTTTATTCATAAGGATTCCGGATTGGAGAACACCATTGAACTTGAAAAACGGATGAAGATCCTTAACTATTCAAAAAGTACAAAAAAATTATTAAAAAAAGCTTAAGGACTCATTGGGGGAGAACACCATTGTACATGCTCTTAGGTTGGTGTTGAGTAAAGTGATGGGCTTTGGTTGTGGGCTAGTGAGATAATGGGCTTTATTTGGGCTTAAATAGCTCTTTTCCTTCTCAATAAGTATATTCAAGAACTTATTTAAAGGAGAGATTTTGCAGAGCTCTTCTTGTTTGAGAGTTACAAATTGTTGAGTGATTAGAAAATTTCTTGTGCTCACTATACATAAATTAAAAGCTTATAGACCTTCTTATAAGATAATAAAATTATCAAATAGCTTTCACTGTTTATGGCATATAACACTATCAATTTCTTAATCAGAACCTAACCCAAAAGAATAGTAGTTAATTATTTTAAATCAGGTATATGCATTCAATAAAATAAAAACCAATCATAGCAAGTTAAGATCTAATAATAGCTCATAAACTTTTTCTCTAGGACTAGGATAATTAGATTATTAACGTAGCACACATTGATATCCTTAGCATTATAACACACACTAATCAAACTATTTAACAACAACCAGAACGAGATTAGTTATACGACCCTTTACGTAAATCAACAACAATCCGTGTTACCATCCTCCACTTCCTTGTTACCAAGAAGCTCTTCTCGTTGTGCTTTAGTGATAGAGTCTCCACCAGCTGCTAAACTTTCCCAAAACCATTCACCACTCTCAGCGACAAGATCTTCCAAAGGCTTCCTACACTTGCGACACCATCTCGGTCCCTTCTCAGGCTGCGCTAAGAGAATGTTGACAGGGTTTCTCTTTTTAAACGACTCTAGAGGATAGAGAAAATCCATGTTGTCTCCAGAGATGACCATCAGGTTCGTGTATTTCTTCTCACGGTCGAAAATAGACCAGAAACATATGTCGTACGACATCGTCTTGTATCTCTGCGATTCATCTCCTGCCAACAAAAATATATCTTTTTAAGTAAAAAAACATTAATAATAAGTTAGAAAAAAAAGATTTTTTTTTGTTAACCTGCGGGTTTGAGTTTCATTCCGGCAGATTCGAAGTCATCTGGTCCGTCTGGGAACTGGTTTTTATTGCAGTAAGGTGTGATTGTTATCTCACCGAGATAGCCTTTTTTGGCAAGTGCTGACTTGATGTTTTTAGAGATCGAAGCAGGGTCGAGACCGTTAGGGATTGGACATTCCTTCACGTCCCAGAACACACCTATCTTAGCCTCTGCGACGTTTCAACGAAACGATTAGGACAATCAGATAAGAGATAACGAGAGAGAGACACTACTAGTGTGCGATGTTTAAACAATTAGAACAATCAGATAAAGATAGAGAGATAGAGAGACTACTAGTGTATTTCTTGCTCGTCGGAGAAGGCATTGTTGCAAGTTTCAACGGAGATTGTGACAGTTCTCTCGACGTAGGGTTTGGTTTAGTTACATCTGAGGCGCACTGAGACGGGGAGAGTGTGTTTAGTAGAGTAAATGGGCTTTTTATGGGCTTCTAGTTAATGGTCCGTAGATATCACAGGAATAAGTAATGGGCTTTTTGTTGGGCTTTAAATAAATGGTCGGTGTCACTATATAAGTATAATTTTTATGTGTTTTTCAAAAATTAAATTTTGTTAATCTAGAGAAAGATGAACAAGTTACATATAAACCTACCAAGTTTAACTGGACGAAAAAATGTTTTAAATAACACAAGTAACTAAGTATTTGTTTAATTCCAACTTCATTACTCACTAACACATTTACTCAGCAATATGTAGGAACTTTACATCAACTACTTAGCAACAATCAAGTTATAAACATTAACTATCAGACAATTTATAGCTACTAAAAAACATTCACTACTAAGCAATATATGGTATCTTAGAAACATTCACCACTAAGCAAGTATGTCGCAACTTATAAACATTAAATAGTAAGCAATAGGTAGCAAGTTATAAACATTAACTACTAAGCGCAACATGTAGCAAGATATAAACATTAACAATGTAGCCACTTAGAAACATTTAACTACTTATTAATATGCAACTACTTAAAGAACATCCCACTTCTCATGCACAAACAGAAGCCTAAAATCTCATTCATTACCCTCCATCTTGCAAACAAGATCTTCTTTTTCATCTGTTTTGGCGATGGGGTCTCCTCCAACAGCTAAGGTTTCCCAGACCCATGTCTCAGTGCTCGGATCTTTGGACTTAGCTCCGTGTTTGCATCCGCAAGCCTTCCTTAGTGCGTGCAGAGGCTCCGCGAAGAGAATGTTGTGATGCGTATTTTCATACTCGAGATAATCAGCCACCTCCATAGCGGATCGTGACACCACCATCATGTTCGTGTATTCACACTCATTATCCCTCATCCACCCGAAAAACTCTAACTGCATTTGACCAATCCTATCATACTTATCTCCTGAAAATCCCATTTCATATAAAAAAAAAGGTTATACCTTTGGTGACAGGAGTGAATAAATCTATCTAAATATAAAAACGTGTGATTTCATAAAAAGGTTATACTTTGGTGACAGGAATGAATAAATCAATCTAAATATTAAAAAGTGTGATTTTTTTTTCTATTTTCTTTTTTTGAACAAAGGTTATACCTTTGGTGACAGGAGTGAATAAATCAATCTAAATATAAAAAAAAGTGTTTTTTTTCTGAACAAAGGTTATACCTTTGGTGACAGGAGTGAATAAATCAATCTAAATATAAAAAAGTGTGATTTTTTTATTTTTTATTCTGAAGAAATGTTATACCTGTGGTGACAGGAGTGAATAAATCAATTTAATATTAATAAAAAGTGTGTTTTTTTGGAAGAAAGGTTATACCTTTGGGAAACATTTCGATTCCGGCAGATTCGAAGTAACCAGGGATCTGGTTCCTGTCGCCAAACGCCTTGATTGTCACCTCGCCGTGGTAACCACTGTTCGCTAGTGCTGATCTGATGTTCTGACAAACGGTTTCAGGGTCGAGATCTTCTGGGATAGGACACTCCTCTGTGTCCCAGAAGACTCCTGTCTTAGCCTCTGCGAGGTTTTGTAACATAAACTAAATCAGATGATATTTACTACAAGACAAGCAATCTCGACCAAATAAGAGAGAGAGGGAGAGAGATTACCAGCGTATGATGTGGTGGACACGGGAGGCATTGCGTGGCCCATAGTCATGGTGAAGATCATCTTGCTCATACTCAAGCTAGTTGGTGTAGGCATCTTTCTCTCTCAACGGAAGAAGGAACTAGGGTTTTAGTTAGTGATTGCGTCTGAAAAAGAGTGGTTTTCTCGGCGGATAAAAGGTTTAAAAGCTTTGTGTTAATATAGTAAATGGGCTCTTGTTGGGCTTTAATTAAATGGGTTCTGGTTGGGCTATGAAAATCGAATGATGTTAAAAGTAATTTTTGCAAAGACGCAATATGTATCTACAACGTACAGTATGTGTATGTTTTGAACATATGTTTTCAAAAATAAATTTTTAAAAGTCCCTTTTGTTAACGTGGAGAAAGATGAACAAGGTAAATGTTTTGACTAACACAAGTAATTAAGAATTTGTTTGGTTACCACTTCCCTAATCACTAAACACATTTACTCAGCAATATGTAGAAACTTTAAACATCAGCTACTTGGCAGCAATATGTAGCAAATATACAGCTAACTGAAACATTAACTACTAACCGCAAATACGTAGCAAGTTATAACTAGTTAGGACTTAGAAACATTTAACTACTTATTGATACGTAACTACTTAGACAACATTCCCCGTTCTCGCGGAGAAACAGAATCCTTAAAACATCATTTTACCTCTCCATCTAGCAACGACACTCTTCATTTTCATCTGTTTTAGTGACGGGGTCTCCTCCAACAGCTAAGGTTTCCCAGACCCACGTCTCAGCGCTAGGATCTTCAGACCCAGCTCCGTAGCTGCATCCGCAAGGCTTCTTCAGTGAGTGTAGAGGATCCGCGAAGAGAATGTTGTGATAGGTATCTTCATACAAGAGAGAAGCCCCCAACTCCATAGCGGATCGTGAGATTATCATCATGTTTGTAAACTCACTCCTATGGTCCTTCATCCACCAGAAAAACTTTAACTGCATCTGCTCAATCCTCTTATTTTTATCTCCTGAAAAACCAATTTACACATTATTATTATCAAACCTAAAATCAATGTTCGAAAAAGTGTAACTAGGCGTTTTATAGAAGACTAGCGACTAGGCGGATTATATTATTCGGGGACTAGGCGTTACCGAATTATTACTTTATTTTATATTTATTTTACATTTATATAAGCGATTTTAATTTTTTTGGTTTAATTAAAAATATAGTTTAATAAATTTATCAAAAATTGATATACAAAATAAAATAAATTACACAAATTTGTACTTCTTTACTAAATTCTTACTTATTTAACAAATGTATACTAAATTAAACCGATTATAACCGTTTTAGAACAATTTAAACTGATTTAAAATAGTTTAAAGCCACTGCTTAGCCTAGACCGATTTTTAGAACATTATCAAAAAGTGTGGTTTTCAAGAAAAGGTCAAGACCTTTGGGAAATATTTCGATTCCCGCAGATTCGTAGTAACCAGGGATCTGGTTCCTGTCACCAAACGCCATGATTGACACGTCACCACGGTAACCTTTATTCGCTAGAGCTGATCTGATGTTCTGATAGACAGATTCAGGGTCGAGATCTTCCGGGATCGGACACTCCTCAACGTCCCAGAACACTCCTGTCTTAGCATCTGCCAGGTTTTGTAATAAACAAAAATGAGATGAAATCTAGTGTAAGACAAGTGATCTTATTAGAGTTGGGGGTATAATGTATAAATTGGTTTAGTGTTAACCGGGTAGTTAAATATGATAAACCGGTTCTTGATTGTATGTTACTCTATAACTGAATAACAGAAAAATAGTTTTCCACTTTTTCTTCTTATTCTTTGATTCCTCTAACAGATCTCGAGCACGAAAGATAGAGAGGAAGAGAGAGAGTTTACTAGTGTAGGTGGTGCTGGTGACGGGAGGCATGGTGCCGTGCAAAAACATGGAGAGCATCATCTTCTTATTCACTAACATTTTTGCGAGTCTTGCTGACGGAGTGAGAGTACGAGTGTGACGGGGTTCTCTCAACGGGAGAGGAAAGTTAGGGTTTTTTTTTTGGTTAGATCTGAGGCTTGAAAAGAGAGATTTTAGTAGAGTTAATGGGCTTTCGTTGGACTTTGAATAAATGGTCCGTCTATATATGTAAAGTACATTTTTAAAAGAAAGATGCAATTTGTATGTACAACCTACCAAATTTTAATTTTGATTGGACGAATAAATTTTTTGAGAAAGCAATAAAATGTTTCTTTTCGTTCAAAATAGTATTAACTAATTTGTTTTTTTTTGTGAAATTATTTAAACATTTAAGGTAATTAAAATTTAGAGTTTAGTATGTAGAATCAGAATTATGATATAGGTAGTCTAGGGTTTAAAGTACTTTAATTATTTTATTCTTTAACTAGTAATTTTTGTGAATTTTTTTATATGCCATTTTTGTCCTAATTTATTTTTTATGCTATATAAGATATTTTCTCTTAAAGGAATTTGGTTGAAAGTATGAGGTGTTGAATTTAGTTTTCAGCTATGTTGTATGTTGATTCGATTCCACCAAATTGGCTTCAGGATCTTTATAGATTAGTATAGCATGTGTTGTCAAAAAAATATTGATTGAAAAATAGTCTCTTGTTATTTATTGAATTTTTAGATTTGAAAGCATTGATCCGAAACTAGTTATATATTAGAAGTTGAACAAAATCAAATCAAGTATGAATTTTTCCATCAAATAAGAGTAAAAAAAAGTTACAAGCATCAAATGAAAGATAACAATAACATTAGACATATCTTCTATCAAATGAATGTCAATTTCAAGAAGAATATCAGTAAATACATATAAGAACAAAAAAGAGAAGAAGATAAAACATAGAAAATGAATTTTAAGCAGAGATTAGTTGTAAAGAGACTCTCATATTGTGTAGCTGTTGTTGTTAGCATCATCAAGATCAATTCCTTTCAGCTTTGCAGCTGATTCAACTTTCCCCTTCAATGTCTGAAGCTCTCTCATTCTGCAAGATTCATATCACAAAAAGGTCAAACATGATAGAGACTAACAATCTTTAATATGTACATATATTATAGAAAGTTATCTAACCTTGCAAGTTCTGCACGTCTCTTAGCTTCCTCAGCCATACTGTTAAGTTCCGTTGCGCTATTTCTCTCATACATTGGCTTTTGTGGTGTCCCTAAACCATGCTGTGTACGCGTCTCGGCTGCCCATGCAGCCATACGTTCGTCTTTACCAAAGTTCTTTTTGCCAGTGAGTGCAGTCTGACAACAAACACACACTTCTTGTTAGTCCAATACGTAACTGTGAACTACCAAAACTCAAAGATAAAGAGATATATACATACCCTTTGCTCCATCATACGGTTCCATGATTTGCCACTTAGAGCATAACGGACTAAGAACTTGATAGGATCAAGTAACATGTACGTTACTATGTTGAATATCCAGATAACTCCAGTCCAACCCCACCCAATGCTTCTGATTCCAGCAAATGGCCAGTTTGCCATTGCTGATATCGCCGATGCAACCTTTTAAAATGTACACATTAAACCATTAACATTACTATAACTGAAGAAGGTAGATAGTTAGAAAAGATGAGGAAGATATCTTTGTACCAGCTGAGCAATGAGGAAAGCAATGACAAGAAGGAAACCAGGACGTTCAACAAAAGACCAGCTTCTTGAACGTGTCACAAAGATCAACGCTTGGCTGATAGTGCTGACTTGAAGGTATATAGCAGAAGCCATCTGTTCATTCAAGTGTGCAGCCACTTCTTTGTTTTTCATGTCAAAATGATGTTGGTTAAAGTTTCTCACACCGAAAAGTTTCTACCACAAAAAGGAAAAAAAGAGGATATTATTATTATTTGTAACTAAGAAATATTATTATTGTGATGTATATAATAAGCTTACAGGGAAGAAGTTAGTTTCATAAGATGCCCAGAAAAACACAACGGTCATGATAGCCAAGTAAGCTCCAAGAACAACACCAGTTGCAAAAATCTCCTTTAGTTTCCAACAATCTGGTGTTGGTGATGGCTTCACTCTGTCCTTTGATATGGTCATTATAGTACCTTTTTCAACAAGAAAGTAACATTATCAGACAACAAACTCAAGGTGAATCATTAGAAAGTTTTAACAGTTACTAACCATCATTAAGGATTGCAATAACAAGAACCATGAATGGAGGGAAATCAAACTCCCAGAACACACACAAAAGCATGAAACCCATCTGTAACAAAAAAGCCATTTAAAAAATGTGTTATCAGATGGAAAATAAGACTAAAGTATTTGTGAAAATTTATGTAGAAACTTACCACAATACGTATAGTGATAGAAACTGCATAAATCTGTAAAATAAAAGTAAAAAATCAACCAAAACATTCATTTTGAAACTTTGTTAGGTAGTATAAGTCAGTGCAGTTGAAACAATTACTGTGTAATTTTTCATTCTCTGGAAGATGGCACGGCTAGTCAAGACAGCACTGATGATAACACTAAGACCAGGCTCAGTTAAGACAATATCAGAAGCACTACGAGCAGCATCAGTGGCATCATCCACAGCTATTCCAATATCAGCCTTCTTCAATGCAGGTGCATCATTCACTCCATCACCAGTCATACCGCATATATGTTTTCTTGATTGTAATCTCATCACAATCTCATACTTATGCTCTATAAATCCAAAAATAAGAAGGTGATTGTTAGATATGGCTTGAAGAGCATAGTGTTACAAATGTAGTGTAGTTTACCAGGGAACACTCCAGCAAAACCATCTGCTTTCTCGATAAGTTCATCAATGGAAACTGCTTCTGTGTGGTTAGCTGAGAGCAGAGATGAAGATGGGTACATGTTTGTTCCCATTCCAAGTCTCCTTCCTGTTTCTTTTGCAATGGCAAGCTGGTCACCTGAGATGTTATGAGACTTTAACATGAGTAACTCATTGAATCCATAATCATGTATGAGGTGAAGAAAAGTCTTTGTACCAGTGATCATCTTAACACTGACTCCAAGATGAAGTGCTCTCTCAATAGTTTGTGCACTGTCATGACGAGGAGGATCAAACAGAGGAAGAAGAGCTACAAATTCCCATGGACCACCTTCACCTTTAACATCACCATCTGGTACTTGCTATTTATTGAAAAACAGATATATATACTATTAAGAACAAGTTCACAGTATACTTGTGAAAGAAGTTAGGTATATGTCTCACCTGATATGCTAATCCAAGAGATCTTAGACCACGTTCTGCAAATTTGTCGATTGTAGCATGTACCTTGTCCTTGATTTGTAACTTGTTGTGTGCCATATCCAAAATCTAGAGAGAATTAATGAAATTTTTTTAGAATTATATCTCAGGAAACAATGGGAGAGTTTAAGTAAAAGTTTTGTAACCTCTTCAGGTGCTCCTTTGCTCACACGGTGCATCTTGCCTTCTCCATCAAGGTAGGTTAGTGCAGTTCTTCTATTAGCTGGACTGAATGGTAGAAAATGGAGTTCTTTGATTCCAGCACGTGCCTGAAGAAAACATTAAAGTATCAGATCAATACATTAATTATCACAGCTTTTTTTACATGTTATAATGCTGAATCTAGTTTAGTGGAAGATGAGTTTCTAATCCATACCTCTTTAGGGTCTGACAACATAGAAACAATAGCAGTATCAATAGCATCTTGGTTCTCTAAACGCGCAGCTCTTGCAGCCATAAGTACAGCCATATCTTTGTCAATGCCTTTCTTGAAAATCTATAACATATTACATGGATTAAAATGATATTGTTACATCAAAATCAGAATAGCCGTATCTAAAATTTAAGGGACTATAAACAATTTTAATTAATAAGCAACCAAGTAAGTAGAATAGAGAGAAGATGCAAACCTCAATGAGATTCTTATCCACAGAAAGCTTGTTAAGTGTGAGAGTACCAGTTTTATCACTGCACAGAACATCCATTCCAGCCATTTCTTCAATAGCTGTCATTCTCTTTGTTATAGCACCCTGAAAAATGGATATTATTACAAACAAGTAAGGTCATTACACAAAAAAAAACATAAAAATCCACAAAAGTTGTTGAACTTATGTCTTAAAACTTGTGTTGACCTGTTGAGCAAGGCGATGTGCACCAATAGCCATTGTAACAGAGAGAACAGTAGGCATAGCAATAGGGATACCACCAATCAACAAGACTAGAAGATTATCGATACCAACACGGTACCCTCTCTGTTGTAGACCGTATATAACAACGATTTCAATAGCCATTCCTACTGCAATGGAGCAGATACAGAAGTTTCCTATTGCTGTCAAAACCTACAAAACTTTCTATATTAGTCACTAACTCTCAAAATGGAAAGTTTTGTAGTTTTGTAATTGAAATTTTGAACAAACCTACCTTTTGGAAGTGACCAACATGGGTAGTACTGTCCACAAGATGAGCAGCTTTTCCAAAGAAAGTGTGGACACCAGTGGCTATAACAACCGCTTCAATTTCACCTTGCTTGCAAGTAGAACCAGAGTACACTGAAGCGCCAGGGTTCTTGGTTACTGGAAGAGACTCTCCTGTAAGAGCTGACTGTTGAAAAGATAAATATGTTACAAGATTAGTCCAAAGAAAGTTAAAGATAATGACATTATTTAGAAACAGAACTTGCCTGATCAATCTTTAAAGGGTCTCCTTCAAGTAGACGTGCATCAGCAGGAATGATATCACCGAGTTTGATAGCAACTATATCTCCTGGAACCAACTCAGCTGCATCTATTTCATTCCATTTCCCATCACGGATGGCCTAAAACATATAAAGATAAGTTATAACCATCAAATGAAAAAGAGAAAGACGATGACAGGTACCGGTCCTGACATAGGAAATACCAGAAGCAATTTACTAAAAATTGGCCACTTTTATAAAAACGTTTATGCACCATAATAATAATTTTCTTCTAAAAAAGACTTATTTTTCAAATATTTTTTGAGGGCTGAAAACTGTTGATTGTAATGCTTCCCCTCAGGGCCGGTGACACTGTACCTTGGCTTTAGGAGCTAGCTGAGCCATGAGAGCAGCAGCTGCATTTCCAGCATTGTTTTCTTCTACAAAACTGATTGTTGAATTGATCAAAAGTAAGACCACAATACCCACAAAGTCATGGTAATCCGGTGGCTTTCCCTGAACATTTTGAGACAAAATTAGTTATGTTTTTATCAGAATCTTGAAGACATGAATAATGAGAGGGAATAAAAAAAAAAAAATTACTCCTCCATGTGCAAGACCAATGGCCATGAGTGCTGCAGCTTCCATGACCCATGAAAGTGGATTCCACATGAACCCCAAGAACTTTAGTATCTTACTCTCCTTTTTCTCCTCAAGTTTGTTGTAACCAAACAAGGTAAGACGCTCTTGCACTTCATTAGTGGTCAACCCTTCTTTTGTGCACTTGAGATGTTGAAAAACCTCTTCAACGGGTACATTTTCCTACAAAGGCAACGATCCATATGAGAAAATTTAAATTTCATCATATTTTTAAAAAATCTATCAGAAGCAAAATTATCAAATACACTCACCAAATCAATGCTCTCCGTGTTAATAGCATTGAGAGAGTCTATTCCCGCCATATCGAACTTCCTTTTTTGCTTGAGCAGGAAGTTACTAAAACTCAGTTATGGAATCTGTAATGACAAGTTAGTTTATTCATCAATAAGAGACTACATATGTGTTCCTTGTGCCTGTTTTGAATCAAAAAGGTATCTCTTCTTCTACGTATTCGGCTTATTCGAAAAATATGCACACGTGAACAAAGAGAATCATGCAAAAATATATACAAACCTGGAACAGAAAGAACCTTCACCAAAGCATCACCCGTTTAGCCCTTCACAAAAGGAAAGAAGACAAGGAGACAAATGTGTAATGCAGGCAACAAGGGTCTATATAATAACAAAGATCAAAGCTTTGCCGGCCCGATAATTAACCCAATGAAGAGTAAAGCTGACTCCTTCAAAATACTTTTCAACTTTTTAATTCTTTTTTTAATAAGATTTAACTTGTCGACATATATTTAAATTAATTTTAAAATAAGAAAAAAACAAATATTCATTTACTATTGTATATTTGAAGACGTAGAAACCGGAGGTGATTAGTAGTTGCTATAGGTGCTCTTTACAGCCCCATTTATTTCTAAAGAACTAAACTGAAGCAATCAAACTTTAATAAAAAAAATTAAATCATAGCTTTAGAAATAACCTACAGCCGTATAAGTGCTCTGCAGAGCCAAATATCCACATCAATTTTTGAGAGCTTTCCATAAAATTTTAGAGAAATAAAATTTTAAGTCACACCAAAAAATCTACAGATTTTTTTTCACAGCAAAAAAAATTAAAGATACAGCCATTTCCAATCGGACCCGATATAAAAATTCGTAGCCTCTCAGAATTTACCGGCGTTAGGGTAGTACACAAATCTAAACTAAACATACTTTCCTTAGGGTAGTACTTGTGCTCCTAGAAATCAGGAGAAGACAATTCTCAAAAGTCAAAAGAATGTGACTAAGATGTATTTTTTTTTTTGCAACTAAGGTCGAGCCAAGCAAAGCATTGACTTCTGTTTTTGCCTATTGAAATGGTTAGAGAGACCAAAACAAACAATTGTCACACGCGTCAAATAATTCGATCGAAGTTTCCCTAATCAGATTATTTAGTTACAAAAAGGGTCCTATTCTTAGAACGTGTTATCAAAATGTAAGCTCCATAATAAACAGTGCAAGATAGTGGTGATCCATGATGTTGGGTCTTTTTTCCACGCTACCGAGATCTTTAAGAGTTAAACACCTCCATTAACTCAAAATCAATAATTTTAAAATACATATAAGCATATTTGACCATTTAAATTTTCAGAAGACAAGAGAACCATTTAGTGGGCAACAACAATTTAGCCGGACGTCCTTTCGACAATGTTTGACTATATTATCAGAGCACGAGATCAAGATATATGGCCGTACTATTAACAACGAAAGGTATTAAAATATGGGTGAAAATTGGTTGTACCAGCTTGTTGAAATGACATCATGCAAAACATACAAGAAGTGTCAATAATCTCAAAATGCAATCTCCAGATACTGGTTTTGGAGCTATGGCTTTTAGTCTCAATACACACTAGCTGAACGACTCTAGTATGATTGTTTTGTGCTACTCCTGAACTGGTCGGTTAACTGAACAAAACTTCTTGAGCTCTTTTAAATATTTGATACATTCATAAACCCATAATATACAGTTACGTTATGTAGAGAGAACATATGTTACTTGAAGAAATGGATGTTATATGAATGACATCATTTACAAAAAAAAATGCAAGAAATCAACTAACTAGAAAACATTCATCATTTGTAAATGCACACGGCTAAATTTAATCATATGTTATTTACAAAAATAAAATAAAATATAACAGTCTATCTTAACGAGAGCTTACTAAACTAAAAAGGAGCATGCAACATTCATTGAAAGCCATTCAAGATTATTTAGCAAAAAAGAAAGCCATTCAAGATTCCATCTATTAGAGAGCGAACGAATAAGTTGATAGAACGATTTATGAAATAAATTATCATCTGTCTGATTCCGAAAAAGAGTGATCATATCATTATTTAATTTTTCGGTTTGATTTCATTTTTATTAACTAAACCGATCAACCTATGTTTAACCAGATTCGGCCAACCAATTTTGGTTTGATTAGTTACCGATCGGTTTTCTCTTACATAATTAAAGTATGTACTCTCTACGTTTAAATATATATTGTGTCAAAATAGATGTTAATAAAAATGATATTTTAATATTATTTTTAATTTTACTGAAAATTGTGTAATTAATTTGAATTTTGTAGTTATGTTTATAATTGGTTAGATAATTTTAATATTATATTTTAAGTTAGTTTTTGAATTTCTTTTTTAATATTATATTTTAAGTTAATTTTTGAATTCCTTTTTCAATATTTGTACATCAAGGTAAAACATGATGTATTGTGAGATGGAAGGAGTATTAAAATATGAAAATGATGGAAGGAAAGGAAAATGGAGGGAAAGTCTTTTTTGAAAAAGCCGAATATAATAAAATCGAGATAAATATAGTAAAAAAATAAATATAATTTAGTAAAAAAGACAGCTTTTTGAGATTAGGGTTTATGTTCGCAAAATGTTACTCTTTACCTGACACTCACTACAGCACACTCACTCTCACTCTCTCCCCTCTGCTTTCAAACCTAAGATGGGATGTACCGCCTCCAAACTCGACGGCGAAGACACAGTTCGCCGTTACAAAACCCGCCGCCGTCTAATGAAAGAAGCCGTCTACGCCCGCCACAACCTCGCCGTCGCTCAAGCCGATTACTGCCGTTCCCTCCGTCTCACCGGATCCGCTCTTTCCTCATTCGCCGCCGGTGAGCCTCTCCTCTCTGTCTCAAACCAAACTCCGTCAGTCTTTCTCCATCCTCAACATTCTCCGACCAACTCAATCCCTCCACGTGTCCCTCCTCCTCCTCCTCCTCCTCAGCCTCCAGCTTCTTCGAGTAGACGAAGGAAAGAGAAACAGAAACAAAAGCTGCCTCATATACTCTCTGACTCAAGTCCTTCGTGTTCTTCTCCGGTGAGTGAAAGATCCAATTTTTATCCCAGAGCTTATCAGAACTCGACTTACTCTCCTTCGCACGCTTCCTCGGTTTGGAACTGGGAGAATTTCTACCCTCCTTCTCCTCCAGATTCAGAGTTCTTCGATAGGAAACAGAGAGAAACAGAGAGAACAGAGCATTTGAGTAAGAAGAAGAACGGATCATTTGAGGAAGAAGAAACAGAGAGAAGAACAGAGCATTTGAGTAAGAACAAGAACAGAGCATCTGAGGAAGAAGAAGAAACAGAGAGAAGAACAGGGCATTTGAGTAGGAACAAGAACAGAGCATTTGAGGAAGAAACAGAGAGAACAGAGTATTTGAGTAAGAAGAACAGAGCATTTGAGGAAGAAGAAACAGAGTATTTGAGTAAGAAGAAGAACAGAGCATTTGAGGAGGAAGAAACAGAGAGAAGAACAGAGCATTTGAGTAAGAAGAAGAACAGAGCATTTGAGGAGGAAGAAACAGAGAGGGAGGAAGTACAGTGTAGCTCATGGGACGTTCAAGATCATTTCTCCTCCTCTTCCGAGGAGGAAGATGATGATGATAATATGGAGTCTGTTTCAGAGATGGGAACTCGGCACCAGGAGGCTTCACCAATGCGGCAAGGAGATGATGATAAAGAAGATGATGCGACGACGTATTGTGGTAGCTATAGAGGTGGAGGAGATGTTGCTGTTAGGCATAAGGATTTGAAAGAGATAGCTGATGCGATCAAGGAGTATTTTGATAAGGCTGCTGACGCTGGGGATCAAGTGTCTCAGATGCTTGAGCTTGGAAGAGCTCAGCTTGATGGGAGTTTCAGACAGTTAAAGAGTGAGTTAGATAGTGTTTGTTTTTGTTAATGTTCTAAAAATTGGTTATAGCTTTCTAAAATGATTTTAAACGGTTTAGGCGGCTAGTGTTTAGGTGATAAGTCTTCTATAAAGTGCCTAGTTACTGCCTATAGTTTGTTTATGTCTTGTTTTTGATGACTTGGAAACTATACATGCTTTGAATTTCATAATGTTGATTTGGTTTTTTTGTTTATGTAGAAACTGTGATTCATAAGAGTAGCATACTAAGCAACTTAAGCTCCACATGGACCTCTAAGCCGCCATTAGCAGTCAAGTACAGGCTAGACACAACAGCATTGGATCAACCAAACAGTCTCAAGAGTCTTTGTTCCACTCTTGACCGTCTCTTGGCTTGGGAGAAGAAGCTCTATGAAGAAATCAAGGTCTTAATCTAGCCTCCTTTTTTTACTATTGGTGAATGTATACCAATTGACTGTTGGTAAATTTTGTTATTAGGCTAGAGAAGGTGTGAAGATTGAGCATGAGAAGAAGTTATCACAACTTCAAAGCCAAGAGTATAAAGGAGAGGATGCAGCTAAGCTAGACAAGACAAAGGCTTCTATAAATAGGTTACAGTCATTGATAATTGTTACATCTGAAGCTGTTACAACCACGTCGACGGCTATAATCCGGCTACGTGATACTGACCTTGTTCCTCAACTCGTTGAACTCTGTCATGGGTAAGTTTCTGTGTTCTTTAAAAGTAATATGCTTACTACTTAGACTGACTAGTAAGCATGGACACATTTATCAGTTCGGTTCGGATTTGGATTCTATCAATTAACCAAGCGGATACTGTATCTCTAGAACCTAACCGAGAACCAAATGGACACCTAAATTTTTATAATATAGTTTATATACTTTTAGATATTAGCTATATTTTAGTTTTAAAATAATCAAAATAATTTAAAATATTATTTTTAAACTGAAATAACTAAAAAATTGAATTACCAAAATATTTTTTATTTTAAATATTTGAAATAATCCGAATTATCGAAAAATTTAACCGAAGAAAAAATCCAAATTCTCTTACTTTTTACCCGAATTAACTGAAACCAAACTGGAATCGAATTAATTCAAAAATTACCTCAAATATTAGCTGGTTTCCAACTTTATTACATGAACCAAAAATTGAAATAACCAAACCAAATCCTCCAGCCCCAAAGAACCAAACTGAAACTGAACACCCAAGGCTAGTGACTAGCAACAACATTATGGTTTAGGCATATCTTATATTATATAGTCTCAGCAGCTTAATGGACATTAATCTGTGTGCTATTTTCACCTGATGCAGCTTCATGTACATGTGGAAAGCTATGCATCAATACCACGAGACACAAAACAGCATCGTGCAACAAGTCAAAGGCCTCATCGACAGATCAGGCAAAGGAGAATCAACGTCTGAGCTACACAGACAAGCAACACGTGACCTCGAATCAGCCGTCTCTTCTTGGCACTCTAGCTTCAGCCACCTCATAGAGTTCCAACGTGACTTCATACGCTCCATTCACTCCTGGTTCAAACTAACCATCCTCAACAAAGATCCAACAGACGCTTACTCCTTCTGCGAGGAGTGGAAACTCGCTCTAGACCGTGTTCCCGACACGGTAGCATCAGAAGCAATCAAAAGCTTCATCAACGTTGTGCATGTGATATCAACGAAACAAGGAGATGAACACAAGGTAAAGAAGAGAACAGAGACAGCGTCAAAGGAGCTTGAGAAGAAGGCTTCGTCGCTTAGAAGCTTGGAAAGAAAATATTATCAGTCTTACTCGATGGTTGGTGTTGGTTTACCTGATTCAGGACCTGATAACCAACACGTGTTGGATGCTAGAGACCCGTTGAGTGATAAGAAGTGTGAGCTTGCGGGTTGTCAGAGGAGAGTAGAGGAAGAGATGGTTAAGCATTTGAAGGAGATAGAAGTGACGAGGGCTATGACTTTGAATAATTTGCAGACAGGGTTGCCTGGTGTGTTCCAAGCTTTGACGAGTTTCTCTGCTTTGTTTGTTGAGTCTCTTGAAACGGTGTGCACTCGCTCACACTCTATCAAGTAGAGGAGGACGTTTATGTTGTCATAGACACTAATCTCTCTGTTGTGATTTTGTCTACTAACTGCTTGTATTTAAAAATGTCCCACTCTTCCCAAGTGGAACCATCGGATTCTTCTCTCTCGAGTTGGAATCTGAAAACTCTTTCACTTCTTGTCTGAAAGTGAAACCACATGATTTGGTTTTGTAAAATCTCAATTTTCTTAATTTTTGCTCGTATCTTCTTGTAACATTTCTAATTAGAGTATGATTAACCCGGAGTTCTTAGGGTGAGTTTATTAACGGAAGTTAACACTCCACCCTAAGAACTCCGGTTTAATCATGGTCTTAGTTGTTACCTTTTGTCTCTCCCATGCCACCCTAAACATGTTTACACAGGTTAGGCTGAACCGTTAATGCATGCAAAGCCTTTATTTTTTTTTCCAAAGTCAACATTCTTCTTGCTCTTTTTCATATACATAAACAGAAAATGAAAGGTGATATAATTCATACAAATAAAGAAATCATATTCAATGGAGGGGGAAACAGCTCACGTTTACATGAATGTCGGTTATGTCAATTTACATTTCTCTGGCAAATTTTAGTTTCACTCGTTTATATAATAAAACAACAGTAATTCGGAAACTAGTGGATAGAAAAATAATTAATTATTTTAGGAAAGTCAAATTATTAGTAATAATAAATTTGTTTTAAGGGATTCTTGTTCTGTCATTGACATTTCTGAAAATTTCTCGTTTTTAATATCTTGGATCTTGTAGGCATTTCCCTTGCTTATAAAAGTTTGAAATAATTGCAATTTTTTTTTTTTTTGCAACGAACGCCGTACAAACAGGATATAAATCGATGATTATTGAGAAGGTTATAGAGAACGTGGTAGCCATCTCTTTTCTATAATTCAAAATTGTTAAGGTTTCACGTCGACCATTCTCTATGTCCAACCATTCACATTCAGGTTTTTGAAAGTAAAACAATATATGTATAAATCAGGTGATGAAATTGAAAATTAATAAGATTTGGTGACGATATAAAGATATAAAACAATGAATATAATAAAACACAGCTGATGATATTGAGTTGGCAAACGATCATCCGAGCACGACTAGTTCAAACATTCCCTTTGTCCCTCTTTCAGTAGACGTCATCGCCTTCCTCATAGCCTCTCTCTCGATATATAAACTCACCTCACCACTTTATAGCTCTTACTCATCTCTTTCTCTATTTATCTATCTTTACATTGTTTATCTCAATGGGATCATCAGCGGCGGGAGCTCTCCTCCTCCTCGTCCTAGCCGTCGTCCCTGCCGCCTTCGCCGTGACTTTTCAGGTCGGCGATATTGGTTTCTGGAACAGTGGTGTCGATTACACCGCTTGGGTTGCTGGAAAGACTTTCAGGGTCGGTGACACTCTAGGTATATATAAAACTTTCATTCAAACACTCAAAATCAATTACTTGCTTCACAAGAAACCACTCTTTTTCCATAACCTAGGTTAAACTCTTCACAGAGATTACTTGGCTTACAAGAACCTCTCTCTCTTACAATTAATTTAACTTTTTTTTGTTTTTGTTGTTGTATAGAGTTCCAATATGGACCGTCACACTCGGTGGCCATAGTGAATAAAGCTGGATTCGATACCTGCGACAGTACCGGAGCAACACAGACCTTCACCGGTGGAGACAATAAGATCGATCTTACAACAGTTGGAACTATTCACTTCATTTGCCCTACTCCTGGTCACTGCCAAGGTGGCATGAAACTCGCCGTTACCGTTCTTGCCGCTGTTCCACCACCGGCCACTCCTTCACCACCTCCTTCCCCAAAATTACCACCGCCTTCGCCTCCAACTCCACCGACTTCTCCAAAACTTCCACCGCCTTCCCCAAAATCACCACCGTCTTCTACTCCTTCCCCAAAATCTCCACCGTCTTCCACTCCTTCTCCAAAGCTTGCACCTCACTCTCCGCGTAAACCTAAAACTCTGCCTCCATCTGCTTCTCCACCAGCCAATGGCACACCGAAGTCAGAGTCGCCATCCTCTCCACCCACGACGTCTCCAATGACGTCCCCCTCACCGTCTCCATCGCCACCAGATAACGCAGCGGCTAAGGGAAACATGATGAGCTACGGAATGATGGGGATCACCATGTTATTGATGTACGGTGTCATGAACTAAGTTACAGAGTTAAGACAGCTCTGTTTTTTGGTCAACCACTACTACGTTTTAATCACCTGCTGTCAACCACTACTACGTTTTAATCACCATGTTATTGATGTACGGTGTCATGAACTCTGTTCTTTCAATAATTTTTTCCTTCTTGTTATTTTCATTTTGGAACTGAACATCGTCAGACACCATTATAATCTTGTTCTACATGGTTATTGAGTATATCACAAAATTATATTCATTTTGGTTTGTTTATACATCAGCCCAGAAAATATTATAGCCAAATGATTATATTATTAGCCCAAAAAACTAAACGAACAACGTTTATACAAAGCACCAATAGTTAGAAACACTAATCCCATACGAAACAAAACCTCAACTTCAAATAACAACCCAATGTAAGAGAGGGAGAGAGAGACCTTTTCTTCTTTTTTTGCTTGTTTGCTCTGTTTTCGGCTTTTGATATAGAGTTTTTTCTTGAGGTGTTAGATCTTTATACTTCCGAAGTAGTCTTCCATAAGCTGATTGCTATTGGCTGAGAAGGCTGTATGATGGCATATCTTCAATACATGTTATGTCTTTAACCATTACCTCTCTCTCCAGTTGCCGCCTTGTCGATTTCATTACCGTCTGTGTTCATCCAAATATTGACACAGATTACAACCTTTTACCATTAATCATTTCGTGAACTTGATATGTTTATATTAAGATGAAGCAACAAATCCATTTTTTTCTTCGAATCTAAAGCTTCTAGTGACACTAGAAAAGGTTATAGAAAGTGCTTACGTTAAACTCCATGTAGGAAGCATGCATGGAGAGCCATTGCTGATCCATTAGCTTGAAGGCAATGCAATAAAGAATGTCAAACGCAGCCTCATTCACTGCAAACAACAACACAAGTGCAGAGGATACACACTACTTAGTAATCTAACTTGTGACAGACAAATGATATTTTCTAATTAGCATTTTCTGGTGATTATTACCCGAAAGGAATCTCAAAAATGTTTCGCCAACAATACTCTGTGGCTTCACTGTAAAATTGAAGGATATATATCGTCAGAATGTACAACTAGGATACTGTTACTGAACCTGAGCTATATCTCAAAATAGGATACTCAACAAAAGCACCAAAGGAAATGGAACAAGGAGTGGTTAAGCTATTTAACTATTTTAACTAGTACTCATTATGTTGAGCTAAGAGCATGCTCATCTATGCAATAAGTAATGTTGATGTACCTGCTTCAAGGCCAAGCATCTGGATAAGCATGAACGTAATATTGATGCCAGCAACAGCAAACGGGTATTCCCACACAGAACGATCACCAACCTGCTTCCGCAGAAGGTCCTGGAAGCATTTCTGCAAGAAGCAAACAAGTGGCACAAATATTGAGTGACAGAGCTTAAATGTCATTTGACTGAGAGACATATAATCACTAGAATTAAAAATTTGAAGGAAGGCGACAATTATTGAAATATAATGGTTTACCGGGAATCTCTTAGCGAAGTAGAGCAAGTTTTCCAGAGATATGAAACCACCACCCCTGCCACATGATCCACTGTAAGTGGTCAAGTGAAGTAGATAAATTTAAGGACAATGACAAGGAGATGAGAAGGTGAGCTTACCTAAAATCTGTTGATGGATCTTTTCCCTGCCAGCCCATCTCCTTCCACTGCTCAGATACAATCCCGTGCAGCTCTTCTTCAGGAAAGGCAAGTTTCCAAAGATCCTTCAGAGCTTCCTACACTCATATGAAATAGCAACCAATATTTAATCTAACACATGTACAGTTTCACTTAACTAAGCTAGCGTGCTGCCAAACTAGAGATGGCCACAATCTATATGATGGCATAGATTCGTTCTGAGAAGTCTTTACAGACACAACCCTTACCTGATGCTGATGTATTGAGCTGTCATAAGCTACATCAATGCGACTCTGCAACTTAAGTAAACATTCCTCCTGCACGCATTAAGAACAAGGACAAAAATTATTAAGCTATTTGAATACAGTTACCGAGGAGTTAACTTATATGAGATGAGAAATTAAACTACCATTATTACACAGAGTATTAAACAAGAGACTAAAATCATTTACCTGAGCAGGTGTTAGATCAAAGGAAGGACGGGCATCACCATGACTTCCCTGAACACAAACACAAGAAAGGCCACGGCCTAACCATGCTGCTGATCCAGCCACAACCTCAGCTACATATAAACAAATCACGCAAAACAACCTTTTAACATACGTTACATACATATATCGATACTAATAACACTTACAAAGAAGATCCACACACACACACACACACACACATTACTAACTCCACGATTTTATCAGTAGGAGCAATAAAACAACAAATAATATACAATGTTAATGTGTGCAAGCATGAATCACGCAAAACAACTTTTAAAACACGTTTAAAAAGATGTATCGTTACTTTAATAACACTTACAAATAAAATCCACACACATACACACAGAATACTAACAAGAAGTAATAAATTTTACCAGAGGAAGAAGAAGAATGGTAAACGTTTCCTCGTTCAAAACCTTGTGAAATCCGCCTCACGGCAACGAACGAACCTCCTCTATTATCATCCATCTCTCGCTTTACCTCCTCACCTCCGCGAATCTCTTCAATCAAACTGTCACAATTCAAAATACAAATCAGAAAACAAAGTAATCTGATCAACACAACAAAACGTCGCCGTATCCTAACAACTTCGAACGCTTTTACTATTCACAAACTACAGATAATGAAATAGCGAGAGAGAGAGAGATACGAAACAGTCTCTACCGAGTGTCGCCGGAGTTTAGGCGGCGATTGAGCTTTAATCCGACGACGAAATCAATAGAGACAGAGGGGGAGAGAGATTTGGCCGTTTCTTTCTTTTTTTTGGTTTGGGGGTTATTTATTTTTAATTGTATAAACCGGCCGGTTAAGAATTTTGAGCGTGTATAAACCGGTAATTTAAGGATTTTTCACGGGTATAAACCGGTAATTTAAGGATTTTTCGCGTGTATAAACCGGCCGGTTAAGGATTTAGCGCGTGTGGTTCAGTCGTTATCGGAAGAAAGTTCGTAACGGAATGACTCGTGCGGCGGTCATTTGCTTCCTCCCGCGTATTTAAGTCGGGAAGACTTCGTCAACGACAATTTCCTAATTATTTATTTTTAAATTATTTATCCTCTTAATATATAAAACGATTTAAAGATAATTAACGATTATAAAAAAAAATTTACATACAAAATCTTTTTTTTTTTGTGTGTGTTTAAACTTTCAATATTTTATTCATTAAAAAAAAAATCACAGACGAAGAGGAATGGAATTAAAAGGAAGAAAATGAGGCAATATTAAACTATGCTCTTTTCTTCTTTACTTGCCTGCTTTCTTCCTTCACCATCTCCATAATATCATTCTTAGTCACCTTTCTCATTTTCACTTTTTTTTCATCGCCGTGAACTGTTGGATCCATATCGTGCTCGCGGCAGATCACTTGCCAGAACTTGAGACTGATCTTGTCACCACTCTTAGTCTCACTCATGTTGCAGTGATTCTAGTGATTAGACAGAAATGCACGTTTTTAAACATACAAAATCTTGTATTTCATTCATTATTGAATATAACGGAATCATCAACAATAAGAAATAAAATAACTGATGAAAACTTCTTTCTGTTTTTGTCATTGAAAAAGTTTAATTTAGGTAATCAAATATTAAGAAATGAGGATTCATATCTTCATTGTGAGGAAAAAACTATATCTAATTGATTAAATAAATCAAGAAAGATGTAATCTAATCAAACACAATAAGTGCGATAATTAAACTATGCGTCGGCCACATCTACGAAGCTCATTTTTAATTAACACGTCAACTATTAGGCCCATCTATGCAGCTAATTGATTATTACTGAAAACTTATTTTAACGTGGCTTAATGAAAATATAAAGTTATGGATATAATTGGGCTGGAACACAAAGCCCAATCTAATAAACCCATTGTTAGAAAAATATACTCGAGTATTTTTATTTTTTTTTAAATAAGGAAAAAAAAAGACAAAACGGTGAGAAGAAGAGACCATGATCTTTACATCTCCTATGTCCTGTCCTCCACTCTGTGTCGGAAAAATTATTTAAATTTAAATTAAAAAAAAAAAGTAAAACCCTAGTTGTCTCCGTAGCTTTAGAAAGTCGTGAGAATCTAAATCTCGAATTTTGTTCTGTCCTTTTGTTATCTCGAGAGAATCGAATTATGTACAAGGAGCGGAGTGGAGGAGGTGGAGGCGGGTCATCGAGATCGGAGATGGTCGGCGGAGCAATTGATCGGAAACGAATCAACGACGCACTCAACAAGAGACTTGAGAAGTCTTCAACATCAACATCTAAAGGTTTCACTTCTAAAGACAAACATCAACAGCTTCCAGATGGTTTGTTTCTTTTCTTCTTTACACATTATTTTTATTTTTATTTTTGGTAGTTTAATTAATTACATTGGTCTGAATCCTTTTTTTCTGTAGTGGAATCTGAGACAGATAGTGAAGAAGGTTCAGATGTGAGTGGATCAGAAGGTGAAGATGATGATGACACGTCGTGGATCTCGTGGTTTTGTAGTTTGAGAGGGAATGATTTCTTCTGTGAAGTAGATGAAGATTATATACAAGATGATTTTAATCTTTGTGGGTTGAGTGGTCAAGTTCCTTATTATGAGTATGCGCTTGATCTCATTCTAGATGTCGAATCTTCAAACAGTAAGTGATGTTAATGTTCTTGTCTTAAAAAGAAACAAGAATTTGTCTGAAATCTTTTTGTTATTTTGTTTAGGTGAGATGTTTACTGAAGAACAGAATGAACTTGTGGAATCAGCTGCTGAGATGTTGTATGGTCTTATTCATGTTCGTTACATTTTGACTACTAAAGGACTTGCTGCAATGGTTAGTGTGTGTACTCTTCTTTATTTGTTTTTGTTAGCTTTTGGTTTCTTAACGGCTTCAAACTCTTTGTTGTAGAGTGAGAAGTACAAGAAGTGTGATTTCGGGAGATGTCCGAGAGTTTTTTGTTGCGGACAGTCTTGTCTACCTGTTGGACAATCTGACATCCCGAGATCGAGTACTGTGAAGATATACTGCCCAAAATGTCAAGACATATCTTACCCGCGATCTAAATTCCAAGGCAGTATCCTTGCTTCAGTTTAAAACAATCTAATCTTTGAACATTTGCATAAATGCTGCAGCGTGACAACGTTTCTAAGTGTGTGTTTGCGCTTGAATGAATTTGTGCAGATATTGATGGAGCATACTTTGGAACCACATTCCCTCACTTGTTCTTGATGACAAACGGGAACTTAAAGCCTCAAAAGCCGACTCAGAGTTATGTCCCGAGAATCTTTGGCTTTAAGGTACACAAGCCATGATACAAGTGCCTCTGCATTCTCAATGATGTTACATCGCGTCTGGAAACGATTTGAGTGGAGCATATAGTCAATCATTGGGTAAAGCATGATTCGAGCTTAAATTTTTTGTAACATTGGAATCTTGAAAGAATCCCATGAAGTCCTAAATGCAACAGCCTGACTCGTAGACAAGCTATATATATCTTGTCTAAGAAATTTGTTTCCCTTGGATGTTTTTTGTTTTTCATGTTCTTTGTCTAGAAATTGCAATATTTTTCCACAGCGTATTTATTTTATTTATCTAAAAAACCCTAAGATATAAACTACGTTACCTAGTTAATCTCTTGTTTCGGTTAGATTCTGATTAAATCACATGTTTAAGCCTAACTTGATATACTCTGTAAAATTTCGCAGAAATGAGTAACAGAGAAGCAGCACAAACCAATTATAACCTCGGCCAAATGTAACAACCTGACTCAAAAACATACCAATTTGGTACAGTTTTATATTGGAAAAATATGTTTGGAACCAAGTTATTAAATATAAATTCAGAGACAAGCGCAATAGAAAAATAATCCAAAACATAATTGTCACTGAATACTTGATTCACGGCTAAATGTAACACTGTCTTGAATCAAAAAACACAAAAGCATAGTTCTCCAATAACATCTCATAACAACGCAAAATTATGATAAAATTAAGGTAGATTTTAACCCTCGATTTGCTCCCTCAACCTCCTGATGGTGCTCCTAACGGTGACGGCACTCGCGGTGCTGCAATTCACAAACCAAGCACACAAAGTTTAAACATTAAAAAAAAACTTACTCTGATTAGATTAATTAACAAGAAGCAAATATAGATAAAAGACTTACTTCATGGTGTAGGCACCACCGGCTTTGACCTTGCCACAGTCCTTGCATCCCCAGATACCAACCGCCTTTCGCTTCACTCCGTATTTGCCGCAAAACTCGCAAAAGTATTTGCTGTGTTGGCTCACTTCCATCTTCTTAATCTGCTTCCTAATACTCGCACCATAACGAGTACCTGCAAAATCACAAATCATAAATACAATATGTATTAAAAAACCAACCAGAGAGACTATTCAAATTCGTAGTAAGAATTGTGAACAAACTTAGTAATAACAATGGTAAAAACAACTAATCATTAGCTATATGAACATGTCTTTGTAACGAAAATGTTGAAAGTAAAATTTTATTTCAAACGATCAACATTGGTAAGCAAATTACAGAAACGCCATTCAAGTTTTACGCTATTACAAGACAAAACTCATTATTTGCTACAGTCTAATCATCTTTAGACATTAAAAGACGAAACTCTAAAGAAAGAGGAGAAGGTCTTACCGTATTTGCCGACGATTCCCACCTTCTTAGTTCTCTTCGCCTGTTCCAAGACAAGAAACAAAAAGACAAGAGTGAGTGATTCAGACAGAATAAACCAAACCGCAACTTAGATCTCCAACAGAATAATATTAAGACATCAACTAGCTTGTAACTTAAGATTCAAATCGTACGCTAGAAACTAGACAGCAGAATAGCTTAAATTTTCATAACACATCCTAACGAGTGAAACAAAAGACAAAGAGTGAGTGATTGAGACAGAATAAAACAAATCGCAACTTAGATCTCCAACACAATATTAAGACATCAACTATATGGTATGCTTTGAACTAGACAGAAGAAGAGCTTAAGTTCTATAACGTCCTAACGATTGAAAGAAGGAGGAGAGATTCTTCACCATTTCGAATCCGGAGAAGACGCCGAAAGTGTGTAAAACCCTAGAGATAGAGCAACTGGGAAGGGGCTAACTGCGAAAACCATCTTATATAGGGATTTATTAGGTTATTTTTTTATTTGGGCCTTCAGGCCCATTGGGCTATCAAAGATTAAAACCGTAAAAAGCCTTTCACGTGGATTTCAAAAGGTTACAAAAATATAATCCAGAAAACTCTCTTTTTATCGATGGTGTTCTCTTGAGATGAGATGTGGTCCTCTTCTCAAAGAGTAAAGAACAGAAAAAGAAAAAAAAATGAAAGTGTGTGTTTTTAATTTTCTATCAACCCTAGACGACCTAACCTAAACTCCACCCAACTCTCTCTCTACCAAAACCGAATCTGTGTGTTTTATTAGACTCTTAGTTAGTTCTGGTGAGTCCATCCTTGTTTGTTCCTTCTGGATTTCATAGAATGGTTTCTCTGTAGATTAGGATTAAGCTTCACAGATACTTGTTTGTGGTCTTTAAGAGTCTTTTGTTAGCATTTTTCAGTAGTTATCTTCTAGCTCCGAACTTCACATCTGTTTTTTTTAATTTATTGCATGTTTTGTTCTATCAGGAGGTTTGATTAGGAAGTTAATGATTGTCTCTACTGCTTATGCATAGAAGTACTCAAGATTGTGTAAAAGATTTATAAAAAGCTGCTGCTTTTTTTAAGGATTACAAGGTTAGTTTTCTCTGATAGTTGCTGTAATAGATAAAAATGAAGCTTCTTATGTTTTTTTTTTTATGTCGGATGAGCTGCAAACTGATTAGAATGAGTTTAGGATAATGTGTTTGTGTGTTTGGTTTGAATGAAGTTATAACTGATGTTCATAAATCAGCTCTTTCTCAAACATGACATCATTTGCTCTGTCCTTCTTCCATCTTCTCTAGTTTCCTCTTACAGATTTTTTTTTGTTTATTTGTCTCTCTCTCTCTCTCTCTCTCTCGTGTTGCTATTTGGCCACATGCAAACATGTTCCAGAGTTCAGTTGCCAAAACTTATTTGTTCCAGAGTTCAATTGCCAAAACTTTCTTGTTTCAGAGTTCAGTTTATGTGTTCCTTAATACTAGCAATGCTTGCATTTAGTGGTCTATTGACAATTTTTTACTGATTGGCTATGAGCAGGAACTAAAAAGCAATCTTTTCTTTTGGCTTTTCCATTAGCTTTACTCATTTTTGTTTGAAGCTGTATACCTCAAATGGATGATGGTGGGCATCGTGACAATGGTTGGCATAAAGCATCTCAGGGCAAGGTATCTTCCACACATTGTCTTTTTCCAAAATCCCAAAAAAAAACTACATCATTTCTTGACATTGTATCTAAATCTATTAAATGTTTCATGAAATGAAGCAGTGGATGATCCAGCAGCAGCCGCAGCAGCACCAGCCTTCAATGAAACAAGTGATGTCAATAATAGCAGAGCGTGACGCAGCGATTCAGGAGAGGAATCTAGCCATCTCAGAGAAAAAAGCAGCAATAGCTGAAAGAGACATGGCCTTTCTCCAGCGAGACACGGCCATCGCTGAGCGCAACAACGCCATAATCGAGAGAGACAGTGCTCTTGCAGCTCTACATTACCGTGACAACTCAATGCCTACTACTTCACGCCAACACCAACATCACATGTTTCACACTGAAAACGCATATGAGGCCAGAGAAATGGAGCCAAATGAGACGTCACCAAAACGCGGTAAAAGAGCAAAAGAACCAAAGGCGTCGTCAACAACAACAAAAGCCAAAAGAGGGCCAAAAACTCAGAGGAAGGTTAAGAAAGAAAACGAGGACGACTTAACAACCAAGATGATGTTTGTAAAGACCAACCTTGACTACGGTGAAGAAGAAGAAACAAGTAGGCATCTCCGACAAGAAATGGTGGGGCTTAACCAGGTTGTTTATGACCAGACAACAATGCCACCACCGGTCTGTTCATGTACAGGAGTTCCCAGACAATGCTACAAATGGGGAAACGGTGGTTGGCAGTCATCTTGTTGCACAAACACACTCTCAATGCATCCATTACCGGCACAGCCCAACAAAAAACATGCTAGAGTTGGTGGTAGGAAGATGAGTGGAAGCGCTTTCAACAAGCTTCTAAGCCGGCTTGCTGCTGAAGGGCATCATGATCTCTCGAACCCGGTTGATCTTAAGGACCATTGGGCAAAGCACGGTACAAACCGTTACATCACGATCAGATAACATTTGTATATGTAGGTGTGAAGCTCTGCTTATGACACTATTCTCTGATTCTAGATCATATGTGCTAGATTCAAAATAAACTTCAGAGGAAAATAAGTGTATGTTAAGTTGTATTTATGTAATAGAACAAACCTTAGTAACACTTTAGTATCTTGTTAAGATATGCCAAAATGTTTATGTTTAATACAGTGAAACATAATCTCTATAAATTAATAATAATGAGAATACATCAAAACAATGATTTTTTATTAATTTATAAAAATTATTAATTTATTGATATATTAATTAAAGTAAAATTTTAATTTAAAATTATAAATTATATTATTTTCTAGAGATTTTTAGTCTATATTAATTTATAAAGTATTAATTTAAAGAGATTATACTGTAAAAAATTTCTCCAATGTATGAAGTTAAACACACTTGAGATAATACTGATAAATTGGAAATGTGTTAGTAAAATGTTTAAATACAATGGGGAAAGAAATTAATACTCCCTCCGTTTCATATTAAGTGTCGTTGTAGAGAATTTTTTACGTTACAAAATAAGTGTCGTTTTCGGTTTTCATTGCAAAATTTATTAATTTTATTATGTAATTTGTTTTTCTATTGGTTAAAATATGGTTAGGTGTATGAGTAACTGTGTTTTTATATAAGAAATATGTAAAATTAATTGTTTTTTTAATCCGTGTGCACAGCTGTAGAGTGACACTTATAATGAAACAGAGGGAGTATGTAGATGATATACGCCATATGTGTGTATTTATTACTAGTGACATTGAAGTATAACTAGTGGCTTGTACTTTTTTTTATTACAACATTATATAAAGTTTTTTCTTGATATGTCAAATCATACAATTGAAACCTGAATAGGTAGGTGGTCTTGGCAATTAGCTATGACTTACTGCTAGATTCATTGTGTACATAACATAAGCTTGTTCTTAGTAGAAAGTTATGTGATCTCTTTCTGTGACCAGTTAAGTGGGTTTTAATTTTATAATTGTACATAACAATCTACTTTCTTCAGGAGTATTTGTTGATCTATTTATTTCATTTTTTCTTTACCTATTAAAGTGAAATCAGAACATCTCATTTCAGTATGAAAAAAAATCAAAGTAGTGTATTAAGATCTTCAGAAATGAGAGCATGGGCCTATCAAATGGGCCAACATATTTCGTGACAAGCCCAATTAAATTAGAACACAGTAATTTAGAAGTGACTTTATCATTATTATTTTGTTTTCTTTAAACTTAAACCAAGAAAACCCACAAGCCAAAAAAGGATCTCTTCTCGTGAACATGTAATAACTAAGACACGACAAGAGTCTCCGTCCGTACGGTTTTCCCGGCGACGGAGTTTTTAGATCTGGACGACGACGAAGAAGACGATGCTTTTCTCCATCTCTTGGCTTTCTTTTCATCAGACTCAATCTGTTCTTGCCTACACTCTTGGCTACAAAATGCCATGTCTCCTCTGCAAAAAAATGAACAAGAAAAATCTTAAAGCTTAATGCAAATAATTTAACGGTTGTTTATGTTTTGGTTCAAAGAAAGTAATTAAGTACCTGTACATGAAAATATCAGAGTTAAGAGAAAGGGTTTTGCGGCAAAGAGAGCAAGACTCTAGAAAGTGTGGCTCGTCTCTGACCACAAACCCTACGTAATACGAATCCATTATCAAAAGAGTTTAAACGAACAAAAAAAAAGGGTTTAATTCTCTTGTAGAAAAGGAAGCTCGGAAGAAATAAGCTCAGAGACAAATGGTATTAACGTCATGGGTCTTATATAGAAAAGCCAGCGTTCGAATCGGCTGTATCACGGAACATTCTAGCTTTTGTGTTCTACGATCAAGTATCACTCGTGACCGTTCATTAAATGTGTTTTTTTTAGAAAGGGTTTATCTTAAGAAAATCTTAAATCTGACTTTACTTGTCCGTGATTGAGTTCATATGTGTTGTGTTGTACTTTTCTCTACACTTTAGAGTGATTGCTTTATTAGCTCTCACAAACATATGATCATTATACTTTATAAATTTAAGAAAGTTACCATACTATCACGTAAATTCGTATTATATAATGTGTATATATACTTTAGTTTTCGATATTGCTTGTGTTGATTAGATAAGTGATCAAATGATAGATTAAGAATATAAACTAACATAATATTCGAACTAAATAAAATAGCATTTTGTTTTCTTTAATAGATTCTAAATAGTTGGGTGGACCTTGTTAGTCTAGGGAATCAAATGAGTATGCGCTAATTGCTTTCCGGTTCCATTATTGTATCCCTTGGCCAACAACATCATGCACTGGGCATGATCTACGTACTTTTCAAATATATAACTAATGCACTTTTAGAAGAAAATAAATAATGTTTGACATTGATGAAAGTTACATGACCTATAAAATGACAATGTTCTTAACTTTAAGCGTTTACTTCTCTTTCAATTTAAAAGTATACTTAGATCTTATTTTCAGTTGACAGAGGTTCTAGATTTTTATCTAATAAATTTAGTTTCAAATTAAAAAAATTTTAAAAAAATTTAATTAATTTGTCAACAACCAATAATTGTACTTCTTTTAAACACAAATAATAAATAAATATTTGAGTTCCAATAATTCCTCACTATTTTTTATTATAAAAACTGTTTAATAATATTACAAAATAGCATGATATATAATAATGTTATCAACAAAAAAATATTTGTAACCATAAAAACTTATATTCGGAACTGCATGGTTTATTAGTGTGGTCCACTTCAAGTATTCGTGACCCACATTTTTGGAATCTAACGGGGATCTGACTAGGCAACCATAGCAAGACGACAAAAGGAATCAGTAAAACGGGACCCATGTAAAAATCGAGGCCCAATTCTCCAATCACTTTGTCCCTTAGGGCCCATTACAGCTACTTTCTGTCCCCTCTCGTACAATTGTTTGTGATTCAACCAACTAAACCACTTAACCTGTTACCTACCTATGGGCTGTGGCATGAGCGGTATCTAGTTGCTCGTGCGCCAGCTAAGGTCGTATTCCTTGCATGTAATAACTTTTGTTGTCTGATCAACTAGCATGATTTGTGTGACCCTTTTTATGTTGGTCTAAGAATCTTTTACAATGCTCAACTCTCTAATGAAGTCAAGCAATTATAGCCCATAGCTAAGTAACCCATCGAAGAATTTTAAAGTTATGTTAATGGTCTACGTAAGTAGATTTTAGAATCTTTCTTGATGGAGAAAATTGGTGAGTGGGTTTAGATTCTAAGTCATCTATCGTGAAGTACTTTGAAACCTGGTTATGTGCAGGCTCGGCTCAAAAATTGTTTGGACCTTGTGCAATCATATATAAAACAGCAACAAAATAGTGTAGTAATTATTTTTTTTCTGAAATTTTGGACCTATCTTGCAAAATTTCAGAAAATTTGGGCCCTAAAATATAAAGGGAAAATTAATTAACAACATGGGACCTGGTGCAAATGCACTGTCCGCACAGCCCTAAAGCCGATACAGATTATGTGAAACTATGGTTCTATTCTGAGAATTATCTCTCTTTTTTTCTATATACATTGTTTTTTTTGTCCTGTATACATTGTCAAAGCCAAGATTGTTTCTGCCAATATTTAAGGCATGATAATATCTGAGATGGAATATGAATTTGGTTAGATTTAAAGGTTTTTTAATTGCTTGATGTATCTTATGTTTGTTGTCATGTTTATATGTTTAAAGAGGATACATATAAATTATTATCAGTGTCTAGAGACTTCAAATACTTTTTAAGCTGATTAATCCTAATTTTATGTAGTGATTACTGATAGTAAAATTCAGTCTAAGCTCAAGATCTTACAGTAAACTCTATTTAGGTTCATTCTCAAGATCTTGATTCATGATTTTTTCGATCTGTATAAAGACTTCAGTGTTAGAATATATACGATTTAGATATTATGTATCTTGTAATACACTAGCTATTCTAAATCGTATATACTTTAACATTCATGATGTTTTTAGGGATATTTTGACTTTGAGAAATAAACTCGATTTAGATTGCATTATTAGGCTAACAATTTACTAATCAGGTGTTGGTTCAAACATAGTCTCATTTCTCTGAGCTAAAAATCTTGATATTTTCATAGAATCATCTAGATAATTAGAATAAGATTATCTAATCATCTTTATAAAATTATCTAGATAATTAAGATAGTGTTATAAGTAAAGAGGAGAAGATGAGAGAATTGATTGTATTATTTCATGAATAATGAGTCTTTTATATATGATTTCAATAACTTGGTGACAAAGTCTAACTTGGAGTAGGGAACAAGTATATCTACAACTTTCCATATGTACATCACCACAATATTTATAACAGATAAGATTATCTAGATATTTTGATATAAAAAATTAGATCTACAATTAAAATATATAAGATTTTTTGTAGTTAAGAGACTATATAAATACATATACTCTCTTTTCATTTTGAGTCATCCAAATTTACAAGAATCATTCAGGTAGTAATAAATGTCTTTCTAAATAATAATAAAAATTTATTTTTTTCTTTCATTTTAAACATTTCAATTTTATTCCAACAGTTTTAATCGAGAACATAGGGATGACATCATCTTCCGATTCCGAACCTCGTACGAACGAAATGCCATCAGAGAAACTTGGAGACTCGTCCTCGGAGCTAGGAGGAGATTCGAACTCTTCAGAGAAACTTGGAGAAGAGGAAGAAAAGTGTGGGCTTCGCTTGTTCATGAAAGGAGGTGATTGCAAAGACTCATTCATGGCTTGGGAAGTTTGTGTGGAGGAAGCTGATAAGAATGAAGAAAATATCATCCCCAAGTGTATGGAAGTCACTCGTACGTTGTATAAATGTATGGTTGATCACTCCGATTATTACCAGCCTTATCTTACAGTAGAGAAAGCTGTCCGAGAAGAACAATTGAAGAAGGAGATGGAAGCCGAGAAGAACAAAGAGATCTCTGAAGAGGAATTGAAGTGGCTAGCTCCCAGTTGACTAAGAGTATAGGTTAACTTTTTTAAATGGTTTGTTTGCTTCAAGGGACTATCAATATTGGATACAAATTGTTGAAAAATTATGTTGTTAAAGCATATACATCAATAAACTTTTGGGGGAATTCTCACGTATCCCAAAAAAAACATTATAAATATTGAATCTTCATGAACTCGGCCCGCAAAAGTTCAGTGTAGTGACCCTGATTAATGACTATTTCGCGGGCTTCATGCCACGTGACGGCCTGCGATTGGTTTACTTATTATTATTATTATTTAAAAAAAAAAAGAAAAAAAAATATGTGAACCCCCCCCCCCCCCCCCCCCC